GTTTGATGTTTATTGGATCAACCTTTTCTAATAAGGGTTGAATTCTGTATTTCAGGTTAATTTATCTCTAATGAAAGTTATCGTTTCTGATCAAAAATAAATAAATTAAATTAACATACAAAACACATTCAACCATGTTAAACTTTCAATCTCTTTATTTCTTTCTAATTGCACTAGCCTAATTCTACAAGCTACTTTGTACTGAGACCCTTGAGGCAAGCCCAAACATGCACATGCTAGGGGTCTTGAATTCTTAATTCATACATAAAAGATTGGATTTTAGTTTTAACTATAGTTCTTTATCTTTTAAAAAAATGTCTTGTATTAATAAAGATGAATGAACAACATTAGTAAAAAGGGGGTTCTTGGAGCACCGGTGAGTGAGTGAAGCCACCATGATTAAAAAAAGGTAAAAATGCGCAAATTTTAACCAAGGCACGCCTAAGCTGAGGCACAAGGAACACCAAGTATGTGCCTTTTTAAAGGTGCTGCACCTAGGCATAGGCAAGGTGTAGACCTTGAAATGTGCTTCGTCTATGCGCCTAGTAGGTGAAACCATCAAAATGAGGTGTTTTATCTCTATCCACAGAGAACATTGCATTTTTAATTCCATCCAAATCAAAGGGTTTTTCCAACTTCTCTACCAACTCCCTACTCAAAGTGGGCCAACCCAATCTATCCACAAACAACCTCTTTGACAGGGGAGCATCATGAAGGGTTTGAAAATATCCCACAAAAGTCTTAGCTATCTCTTCTTGCTGAGTTATTTTTCTCCAATCCACTAACAATTTACAAAAAAAAAATTATTTTTCCTCCTTCCATTTGCCAACAGATTAAGTATCTAGAATTCACATCCCCTTCCTTGATCCACTTAGATCAAGATTTCTATCTATAAGAAATTTCCTCTCCTCAATAGAATTTATAGCTCTTTTATCACTTCCCATCTCCAATTTATCCCCTTTTGTTAATCCTCTATGCCTTTAGTTCATTCAAAACCACTATTTGATTCTCTTCTATTTATAGTAAAATAAAATTTATTAAAAGTGAAAAGAGATTACAAGGTGACAAGAAATCACCCAAAAGGAGAAAAGAGAAACTAGTTGATTCGAAATTGCCTCGGACTTTTTGATAACATGTCCGAACACTTCTTTTTTCCATACTTTCAATGTGAAGGATGGGTGAACAATGTGAAGGACACATGTTTTCAAACCTAAAAGGTGATGACACTCCACTAGGTAAATCTTACAGCAAAATGATTGGGCAGTGATCTAAGATAGGTCTAGGTAGGGCTCTACAAGATAAACCTCTGCAATTTACCTCCCAATCCACTAAGAAAAGGAACCTATTGACATATTTTATAGTACTATTGCAAGATTTCATTCTTCACAATGTTCTATAAGTTGAAATTTTTACACCATTCAGAATTCTCATTTTTAAGCATCAAAGCTTACTATGAAATTGAAATTGTGAACCTTGTATACTTGTACCTAGTTGTGCAAGGGGTGTCATCCCTACTTGTAATTCGCAGATATGGGAAAAACAATGCTTATGAGCTCATAAAGAAAAAAAAAAAAAAAAACTAAGGACAAAAATAATCAAAAAAATGTAATAATAGCCATAAATGCAATTAAGTTTCTTCAAAAAGAGATCGGTGAAAATAAAGCTCCAGAGCAGTAAAGCATGAAGAAAGTCAACAATATAACTTACCAAACTTCTCCAAAAATCGAAGAGCTTTCTCAAGAAATGATGGACCCCCATCTATATCTTCTAGAGCAAGTAAAATTGGTCTTCCAACAACCAATGACTTGACTGGGCGCTTATCTCTCCCTAAATTATAGCATGCAAATATTTTAGTACATCATGTGATTAAAAGAAATGTTTTAGTACAAATGAATCAGATTAAAGTTCAATTTTACAAAGACATAAATAATGAACCATATATCATCCTGGGCAATTTAAGGTGTAATAATTAATATTGGGTAGAAGAGTACAGACTTTTTTCTTTTCTTTTTTTTTTTTTTTTGAGAAAGGTAAGGGAAGATTACAGACATTGTTGGAAAGATCCTTCAATTGTATCACTTGTGTCATTCCGGAAAATCCCATTGTGTCCCATTACAAGGGCTGCACTTGGTGCTTGTGCAAGAGCCTGTTCTAGTGCTGCTTTCCACTCAAATAAATCCTCTGAAGACTCAGCCTGAAAGTCAGAAAATAACACAAAATATGGATAGATAGTCTCTCAGTATTCCAAGCACCCTAATATACAAAGACAATGGAAGTAATCAAATGAAGCACCTTAAGGGTGAATGCTCGGCCATCGCGCCCATCAGGAAATAGTACAGTCAGAAGTTTTTTATCCTCCCTAACCACAACACTGCAAACAAATAGATACTAATATAAGCCAAGTGAGCATTGGGCAATATACCAAACCAACAAAGAATGTGTAAATCATGCATATTGCATACCTCCCCGAATTATTCAAGTCAATACCACCCAGAGTAAGGTTTACCTCACCACCTCTCTGAGGAAGCGCACTCTACAAAACAACTAAACTAATCAATAGCAGTTCCAATACATAAGGTTGTAATACTGTGAATTATAATTGCTGAAAAGGAACATATAGTCAAGCTAAAAATTGAATAAACAAGCATCAAGCTCGAACATATAAAAATTCAAAATTCTAGACAAAAAGAACCACAGAGTTGTAACTAGCATGGGCTAATAACAGTGGCTGTATGAAGGCTAAACCTACTAAATTAAATTGGATATTTGTACAATTTCACAGTAACATATAGGATGCAGAGAAGAGCATCTAAAGCACCAGTAAGAAGTGATCTTTTACAAGTTGAAGGGGCTAGAAGTACTAGGGGCAGATCAAAAAGGACATAGGTTGAAATGGTGTGAAATGGTTTAGGGGCTCCTGATTTAACAATGAATGTCACATTGAACAGAATAGAATGGCAGACCAGGATTCATGTAGCAGACCCCATAATCCCATATAGTTGGGACAAGGCTTTGATGAGTAACACGATGGATAATTTTGTGGGCATCAATCAGGTTGCTCATGAATCTTGTTCATACTAAGGTTTTGTTTGGGTGAGAAAATGGAGCAGGGGAAGGAAAAGAAGGGAAGGGAAAGAGGCCTACTTTCACAGTACAGTATTTGGTGATTCCAAAGAAACTTGTGAAAGATTTCTTTATCATTGTTTGATTGTCAAAAAAGTAGTTAGAAAAATTGGTTCTGTCCCATTTATCAAAAAAAAGGGGATCTGTCCCCCTTTACGGTTTGATCCATAGATGATCAGAATGAGATATAATCAAACTCCTTGATAGAAATTGTGAGATGCATACCTAAATCAATGATGATGGGAATGATATCCAGCCAGAATCTTTTCCGGGAATGGTAAGATGCTCAAATCCATTGATAGAAATGAGATCAAGTCTGAAACTCTGGGTCTTCCCAGGAAATGGTGAGAGACATATCCAAACTCAAGTCCACCACAATACAATCACCAAGGAATTGTCAACCGTGGCTGGATTGTTGGTACCTGGTAGCTTGCCTTGGTTGGAGAGTGGCTTGTCAGAATTGTTTTCTGAACCTGATAAACTTTATCTTTACACTAGGATCAAGCCCATCTTTTTTTTTTGAAGAATAAAGATAAAAATTTATTGATATAAATCAAAAACTGAATACAGCCAAACATCGGTGCTAAGATAACACCCAATCCAACACCAGAAGGACTATAAAGACACACAAACAAAATGAAAAAGAACCCCCCCTGCAAAAGCAGCTAGTCCTCAGCATCAAACGTCTCGTCATACCCATCGCCTTCCTCGTTCCAAACCTTTCCTCCTTCTCCTAACAACTTCTTCTTCATTCTCTCTTCCCTTTTGTTCTTTTCAAAAACTTCGAAAGCTCTTCTAGTGTACTCCTCACCTCCCCAGAAAAATAACCCTAAGCTCTTGCCAATTCTAACATCCCCATCAACTAGGCTCTTAATCTCCACTTTATCCCCCTCTTTCTTTCAACTCTCACCAACTTGACCTGCCTCATTTCCTGACCCTAGTCTAACCTCCAGACATTCCTTTGTCGGAGACAATGTTTTTCTCCCCTACTACAGCTTGAACCCCCCCCCCACCAGGTAGTTGAGGGGGAGTAGGATTGCTTTCTATTTCCTAGTCAACTGCCTGGTAGTGATCCAACTCTTTCCATACAGATGTGACGGCTGAATAGTAAGCTGACAAACTATGATTTCCTTGCTTACAAGTGGAGGATTCATCATGTAACTGATAGATCTTGATGTAATGCCTTTGCTCAAAGTATGTTGATTTCGCCTGTTCTCATATCTCACTAGTAGTGTCAGCCCATTTAAAATTTTTCCTCATCTCAGGTTCCATAGCTACAGCCTACAAGAAGCCAAGACATTACCATACTATTTTCTTGATCCCCCCTATCATGTTCCATATTGCCACTCTTAGGCTCCTTCACCTCCTCTTATTGTATCCAGCTTTACCTCTAGCTGTAACATAGAGTTTGATACCCTTAGACCACTCCAAGTAATTTAGTCCATTCAACAAAGTAATTGGCATAGGGAAATTCATGCTATCAACTCCCACACTAGTTGTATCTTAGGTAGATGTAACTTCAGAAGAGACAAAATCATGAGTTGCCACTAGAGAAAGCACCCAAACCACAAGAAGACTACTAAAACTGATCACACCTCAACAAAAGAAACAATCGAACTGCTAAAACTCCAAGAAAAGTTCTGGAAGACCAACTACAGCAACTATACTAGTCCAGAAAAACAGTCTCCAATCAACCTCAGCACACACACCACATGCAGCAATAGAGGGCTTCCCCTACCTACTCAAGAAGAAACCGCACAACCCCTTCACAGCACATACACAAAAGCATGCACCCCAAGGAAACACCATCACAGCATCTGACTGTCACCAAATCATCTCCTTGGTATTACGACCAAGGCAGAAAATAAGAAAAAGAGAAAATTGATGGTCTGACCAAGGCCGATCAAGGTTTTCTTCCCTTCACAGTTCAAAAACAAAATTCTGGGCAAGAAGGAAAGAAAAACTGTGGTTTGAGTGCTTCTATCTCCCAAAGGTTTGCTCTGGTACCATGATCTCAACCTGGAAACTACAGAGTATAGAGAGGAGAGGGAGAAGAGGAAATTGAGAGCCAAAAAAATTCAGGCCTGGCGGCACCCTTTATTCATTATATGTAGTAGCGAATACCACTTACATTAAAAGGAAAATTCTATAAAACAGTTGTAAGGCTAGCTATGTTGCATGAAGCACAGTGTTAGGCAGTCAAGAAACATGTCCAGAAAATGAATGTGGTGAAAATGCAATTGCTAAGATGGATGAATGGAAAAACTATAGAGGATAGGATTAGGGATGATGATGAAGTCCGTAAGAACCTAGGAGTAGCTCCAATAGGTGATAAAATGAGAAAGAGTAGACTAAGATGGTATGGGCATGTTCATAGAAGACCACTAAATGCGCCAATTGGAAGAAGTGATTTGTTACACATTGAAGGGGTGGGGAAGAGCAAAAAGGACATGGGTAGAACTCTAGAAGTCATAAGAAATGATTTAAGCACTAATAATTTAACAGTGAATATGGCTTTAAATAGATTAGATTGGTGAAATAAGATTCATGTAGCCAACCCCATATACTTGGGAACTTCGGATAAGAAATGATTTAAGCACTAATGATGGGGAAAACTCAAAACAATAAAATAAAGATAAAAATACAAATATACCCCTGCGGCATAAACTAAAAAATAAACTAATAATAACAGTTAGCTAACAATCGTTATTACTTGGGAATCTTCAAGGACTGATGGCCCTTGGTCCTTTAGACACATAAATGAGAAGCTAAAGCATTGGATCCAACATGAACTGCTCATTCAGATGGATTCCCATATCTACCAATGGACTTTTTGATTCTTCAACTGTGGTAGGGATGAGGCACCAGGCCCAGGGTTGAATGAGTGATTGAGGTTCTTGGAGTTGTATCAATTTGTTTAGGCAATAATTTGTTAGCCTAGGATTATAAGGGCTGAATGAGTAATTCAGATTCTTCATTTACACTCTTATAATTCTTTTTACCATAATAAATCTTGAATGTTGCCAATCAAAAAAATCCTAAAATCATATTAAAAGTTTAAAACAAAATACACAAGAAAGTATACCTTATATGTCAGTAAGTAATGAATTTAAATCAAAATTATGCAAATCCCAATGCAGTTCCATGACAACTCTACCAAACATAAATTTATCCAATTTTGCATTAGCACTGCAGCAGCTTCTAGCACTTCCTAGATTGGAAACTAAAATAAAGATAATCATTAAATGCAAGCATATAATGGTAAAAGATTTAATAACTGACAGGATCATTTTTGAAGAAAACCAAAGATGTGCGTGTGAGAATGAACCAGCGCTTCTTCCATGACTTCCAACCTATCCCTGCAAAACCTCAACATGGTTTCCCAAAAGCACATTAAGATTCCCAGCAATATATAAGGCAAATCATCCTGGTCATATCTTACAATTAAAAGAATAAAAGAAAGGGGAGACATGAATACAGAAAGCCATAAAAAGGCAGGAAAGGAAATAATAGAGCATGCAATGCACCAATTCTTTGACTAGTTTCCAGACTCAAATACAAATCAAACTTGTTAAATGGAGAATCAGAATAATCTCTAATTGTTACATACAGTTTTAGGCCAATCAAATTATAGCAAGTGACCCTTCAAGGGAGGTTTTGCAACAAGAAACATGTAATAAAATTAAGGACAAAACTAAGTATGAGAACCTGGGGTATAAAACATGTACACCATGTAAAACAAGTAAACAAAAGAAAAAGCATACAAAAGATATGACCTCAATAGAAACCATTCCTCATCAGTCATTACTCCCTCTCTAGCAACACTGTGAATATCAAATTAATGCATCACAAAATGCATCTTCTTTTTGCTAGCAAAAGGGGAAATTTATTGATATAAAAAGGCATGTTACAAAAGGTCATTTTAGTGATAAAGATTCACTTAACAAAACCTAGACAATCAATAAAACAATATTAAAACAAGAAGTCATTTGAGTAAGAGATTTATCCTCGCAATTAGAGATCAAACCTCTCTGTCTGATAGTTGAATCTGTTGGAGTATTCAAACTGTACTATGCACGAAAAAAGGGAGTAATTTAGGAAGAAAACCTATAATCGAGGATTTTAATGTAACATCTTCCCCAATGGGGACCTTTTCATAATTTAGATTTTTTTTTGATAAATGAGTGAAATTTTATTAAACCAGCAAATAAGAGTTACATGCAACCCGTGGAAAGGCACGAGATGCGACCTTTCCTTTAAAGCTAATTACAGAATTATAAGTACAAAAGAAATTACACTGAAGCCCAAAATAAAGCATCCCGGGAAACCCCTTGTTTTGCAAGTGAATCGGCCAATGAGTTTGCTGATCTGCCTACCCACTGAACTCTAATAATTTAGAGTTAATATAAAGCACCTCTCTCATTCAAGAGAGATAGATTTGCATATTATCTGTTGCCCTAAATCTTCTATGCCCATCCATCTTTCTCCTTCCTCTTCTCTCACCTAATGACAAGATGGTATTAGAGCAGATAGACTCTGATGATGATGATAAAGATGATAACAACAATGGAGACTCCAGGTCTATTAGTTGAGTCCAGATTTGTCTGTCAAGACTGGCAAAGCCACCTCTTCCAACCCTTTCTGTGGTTGGCAGCTCTGCATACCAATTTACAATCTATGATTATATCCCTCCCCAGTTCTTGTATTTCTTTTATCATGTTTCAGTGTTGCCAAGGAATCTGTTTTCTGCTTCCCACCCCACCCACAACTACACAGAATCTCCATGACCAATAGGACCCAAGAACATAGCCATGATTATCCCATAGCAGTCCCAAAATACCCCTCCAAAACCAGAAGGACCTGGGTTGCCTCAGCTGCTGCAATCAAAGTTCAATTTTATTTGTTGTGCTTCAGATGGTCACCATTGTGAGGTATCACGCTGTCTATGAATTGCTGAATTAGCTAACAAGTACCATTGACTTGTGAACTCCATAGAAAAATTCTCAAAAAAAAGGTGCTTTAGAGTCTTGACCCAATGCCCAACCTTGATAGCAAACTATACTATAATGACACTTTTAGCCCTTTATCTTTCCCTAAATATTCTTATCATTTCTTTTATCCCATGATAGTCCAGAGGACGGCTTCCCTTGTACATCTCCATAAGATTTTTCCTCTTCTCTTTTCAGGTCAAAAGGAGAAAAAAAGACTCTCCAGGTCCTGAGGTAGGTTCCACCTCCCACCAAAAAGAGATAGAAACCAATCCCAGATGCTTGCAACTAATGGGGAGGAGATTAGCAAATGCTAAGCTAAGAGATAGAAACCAATCCTCAGGTCCTGAGGCAGGTTCCTCTTCTCTTTTATTTTGGATCCATTCGCATGAATTAGTCCTCTTTTGGTGATAAGATATCACCCGAGAGAAGAGAAGATATCTTTTGTTTTTTTGGAGATAAATAAAGAAAAATTTTCATTGCTATAAGGAAAACAGTACAACATAACCAGGTGACAAGATGTCACCTAAGAGAGAAGAGAAGATATCACCAAAGAGAAGAGAAACACCTAAAACCAGTCAAACACACAGGAAAGACCACACAACCCCAAGACTGGGGTGAGAAGAAAGGAGGGATTGACTTACACCAAATCTCTCTTACCAGAATAGACTGTGTCAAGAAGAAAGGAGGATAACAACTTCAAGAAAGAGACACACATAAATAAACCTGAGGAATATGTGGTCATATTTGGCAATCTTTAGGAGTGAGAACAATGTAAACAGCCTCCAAAGATTTTAGAAGTTCACAAACTAGGGGAACCTCAACCCCCTCCTAAAGCCCGAATCCCATGAAGTTGCAGTTCTTATAATTAATGTTATTTTAGGAGTCCAAGTTCTTATTTAAGTGTCTCTATGGATCTGTCCTACTTTTAAAGTGATTAGGAATTGTTTTGGTCAGTTTCCTAGTTGAAAATGGTAAAGGAAGATTTAAACCCTTATTCTGAGACTATAGAGCCATGGTAATTGAAACTTCTGTTGATTTGATAAACAAAAATTATGTTTTAGTTCTTTTAGTGTTTTATCATTGTGAAAGCTTGCTCCAATTATCTCTACTCAGGTATGATCACTTATTTGTTGTCTTCCTCTCCATCTTCAAAATATCAATACAGTCCAATACGGACTGTATTGGACTGCATCAAGGCTCGCTTCTCTTTTTTTTAGTTTTTTTCAACCTGGTTCAGACAGGTCGGTTTAAGGCCCGTCTACCCCCTGAACCAGGTCAGACCACAAAATACCCACTGTAGGAGCATATCGGGAGGCCACCGATACGGCCCGATACTTTTCGAAATTTTGATCCTTGACTTCTTCTTTTCTACTATATCACATTTCACATCTGAATTCTTTTATGACTGTTTTTTTATGATTGTTATTCCCATCTTTTTTTATCAGCAAAGGATTAATCATATTAATAGGTGAAAAAAGTTACAGCAGTGTGGGTATCCATTCACCCAAGAATACTGAATACAACAATGCTCATAACAAACTACAATAGAGCCCAAAAAAAGCTGCTGCCTAAACACCCCTTGCTTAGCTAAAGTGTTGGCCATCCCATTAGTCGCCTTGCGTGTCCATGTAAAAGAAGCATTCAAGTCCCCTTTCAGGCTTTCTATGTCTATGCATCCAAGGTACATATATCTAGAAGTGGTCCAAGAAATAACCACTTCTGAGTCTCCTTCATTTCCAGGTTTCTTAAGTTTGATTCTTTAGCAAATTTTAAGCCTTGTAACAGTGCCATCAGTTCAGCCTTTAGAGAGTCCCCCTCTCTTATAGGTCTCGAGTACATAGCCAACACTTTACTTGAGGAGTCTCTAAACACACCACCAATACTTGCCATTCCCGGGTTCCCCATAGAGCTCCCATCGATATTTAACTTTATCATATCCCTTGCTGGGGGCTTCAATTCTATCAACTTTCTTTCCTTTTCTTTAGACGAGTGTGCCACTTCATTCCAAGCCCTTATTATATCAGTCATTGTAAAACTTTCGAAGATATCAAGAGTTTTTATCCAATGAGCCACTTTTATTTTTATTATTTCCACCAAATCCTCCTTTGACATACACTTCTTGTTAAATATTCTTGCATTCCTCCCCTCCCATATGGTTCACATCATTGTTCCTCTAACACTTTTCCACATTGGCTACCTTAGGAAGTATGGACTAAAGACTCCTAAATAAAAATCACAAAGGGACAAGAGATTAGTAAATGGGATAAGGATTCACCACTTGCAAAACAAAGGAAACAACGTGGGAAGAGGCAATTATTCAGCCTCCTCTTTTGAAGCATGTCACAGGTGTTCACCTTCCCAAGAAAAACTTCCCAGCACAGACTCTAATGTCCTCCACAGTTTGAACCAAGAAAGTAGACTTAAGTTTATCCAGCAGTCTTTTTGTATCTAGCTGGAAAAAAAATCTCCAACCATTCCATCTATCAAAATTGAGCTTAAACAACCCTTAATCCAGGAAACAATAATTACAATATAAGCACCCTATTGTGACCTTGATGTCCAACAAGATTTCCCAACAGAATGTGACTTAGGGTCATGTCTATAGTGCCATTAGGGATGATCCTTAGGCACTGGCAGTGCTAGGCATGACCCAGATACCAGAGCACTCTCACATGGGGAAAGGCCAGAGTGAGCGCCCTTTGAAAGTGAGTTTGGTTGATGTATGAAATTTGAATAACCTGCCATTCCAGGATGCAAGTTTTGCATGGGCTACCATTTGGGAAAATCTAGTTTGATGTAAATTGTGTAGACTTTTGAGCTCCACCATCTAAGATGAGTGTCTGCAAATTCTTTTTTTTTTTGTACAAATGTCTGTGAATTCTGTTATCTACCAACCGTTGCCCTATTATGATTTTTTCAAAAGGGTCTAGTGCAGTCCCCCCTCCTTCCAATTTTATATAGTTGGGAACCATATGAAGATGATTAACCAGTTAGATGGAGGAACTCCTTGAAGAATGGTAGGTTGCATATTGTGAATACACTTAGTCAAGTACTCAAAACAAGACCCCAGAGAGCTGGGACGAAAATAGGGCAATGGCAATGTAGTTAAGTACTCAAAAGGTGCAGAAATAGACAAAGTTGTAATTGATGAACAAGTCACCAAGTGTTTCAAGCATTTTCTTAATGTGTAAACAATTTGACAACGGAACAAATGCCTTGATCTTAGTGAAAAGCACACACTACTAACCCTTTGATGATATGAAAAGCGGCCCACTCTTGAATACCTGTAGAAAAAAGTCAGACGTCAGAAGGAGTCCATGCACAAGGGCAACAGTTTATGAAACTAGAACGAATATGCAGATATAGAAAAATGCGGAAACCAGGCAGAACCAAGACCGACATCCCATAATTGAAGAAATCACCAAGAGACATTAATGGAAGTATCAACAAAACCTTTGTAATTAGATCCATCATGGACAATAGAATAAAGACAGTGTAAAGCATAGTCCAGCATTTATACAGCAAAACAAGCCTGGCACAATTCAAACTCTCGACAGTTTCGATCCATCCATAAAATTCCCCTCCATGGCATTTAAGCTAAACAGAAAGGGTTCCGTTGCTGCTCTATTTATTCAAATAATGAGAAAAAACAGCAGAAAGTTCCACCTTTTCCACTAATCAGAAATATAAACTCGAAGCACAACGACATTATCTCAGCAATTCCCTAATCAATCCACCAAAAGACCTCCAAACAAGAAAGAAGAGAATGAACAATTCCAACATCATTGCATTCCAATCACAGTACATCCAAAACATACAAACACTCGAATTGATTTCGAACAGCAACGGAAAATCATACCGTGTTGGGTATTCCACCTCTCGGACGCTCGAACGGCGCCAACGAAGCCGACATTTTCCCACAACGCCACCGAAATTAGCGCATCCAAACGATTCTCAATTCCACCATAACTCCCTCTGCAACTACTACCAAACATTTCAACCACCCAACCCGCCCGATTCCCCCATCTCACCACCCCATCGCTACCTCACCTCCCATCCACACCTGACCCCCACCCACACACGGAACTCCAGCATACAATCTCTGGGATCTGCACTCAAAAAAGCGAACCCAATCTAGGGTTTTAGCAGAAACTTAAAGAAGACGAAGACGGACCAACCAAAGCTACACAATCTACTACGAAATCCCTCCCTCTCTCTCTCTCTCTCTCTCTCTCTAGCAGACAATTTCTACCTGGTTTTGTTTGAGTAAACGAATTAAGCTTGTTGAGAATAATAGATTAGGTAGAGAAGAAGGGAGTACCGGAGTAGTGGCAAAATGGTAATTTTGACTCTATGCTCTTTTACCTACTCGCTTCGGCAGCTGAGACTGGAAGAAGAGACGAAACCGAAATTCTAAGAAAAATAAATAATTTTTACTGTTATTTACGGATTTACCCTCGTTACCCGACCGGTCGACCCCGTCTCCCTCCGGGATCTTTTTGTCCTCTCCAGATGTAACACTAATAAAGTAAGGCCTCCCACGTTGTGAGCTCCTGTCAGGAGAAATACTAAGCACACTCGCTTTTCCAAACGCCGTTTCTCCACTCGCCTCCTCTGTTTGAAGGATGGCTGGATGGTACGACCGCGTGGGAAGTCGTGAAGGAGAGTGAGAAAGCGAGTGTAAGTGGGTGTAGTTGACGTGCCATGTAGTATGGTCGGCGGTCCCCTACGGTCTCGTGCGTCCTCCTACTCTCACCCGTTTCTTGCTGTTTTCTGCCCTTTTTTTATTTTTTTTTTTTAAATGGCGGGAAATGATTTCCTGTTTCACTGTACATATTACTTGTTGCACACAGGATGTGAAATCGGACCCTTTGATTGGTGCAGCACGGGCCGTTGGATTGGCAGATGAGAGATGACCATAAGGAATCTCTAGCCGTTGATCCGTACGATCCAAGGTATGTGCATGTTTGAATTGTGGAATGTTTCCGTATCAAACGAGACACCCGACCGTATGTGGAAGCAGGGCCCACCGGCTATGTCTTGACTTGTGCATGGGGCCCACGCCATCGGTGATTAAATCTTGTCTGCAGGGATATCTACAACGTTATCAGGGAAATCGAGATGAAGGAGGGAGAGTGAGAATGAGTCCTGATCACATAAATTTAGTGCTCTTGGGATCATGTGGGATGCATTAATTGCATTGTACGGCGTGGATGTCTCGGATGGGGCTGCGGGCCCAGGGGGATTCAGGGAGCGTGTACAGATAAATCATTTAATCTTGATTTTCTTGGAATTGGGGAGGGGTAACTCGCGCCCTAGTGGTTTTAAGGCAATTATTTTATGATTAGATGATGTGCAAAAAGGGCAGCATAAAATGATTTTAAGGCGTGGAAGCCCAAAATGGCCCATAAATGTGGTCACGTACATTTCTGGACCAGGCCCAATAAGTCTACATCTGAGTAACTGCACTTAATGACTATGGCCATTCACTTTCATCCTTGTGAATGCAAAGGTTCTATTCTGCAATAATTTCAACTAGATTCTGACTGCCACTGGTTGGATTGATTATTAACCAGCAAGCGAATTGCATGGGGATCAATAGAAATTTCAATTTTGATTAGGGTTTCTTTATTAGGGTTGGGTTGGTAAATTTGGTTTTTGATATAAGTTTGGTTTAATGTCAAGGCTCATATTTATGTTTAGGGTTTATTGAGTGAGAGACATTGACTATTTGAGAGAGAGAGAAGGAGGGAGAGGGGAGGAAGGGGAGAGAGAAATTTAAGAATGATTTTATTAGAAAAGAGAACTGCTAAATTTTAATAGAGAAATTTAGGACATAAGAGGATTTTTATTGTGACTTCTTTTTCAAAAATAAATAATTAAATGACTAATTGCATAAGAAATGAGAAGAGGAAACAATTTAGATAGATCAAGAAAGGTTGAGATCGATAGTAAAAGGATATTATTCACATCCCCTTTAGTGATAATAATTGTTGCTTTGCAATTTAACCTAACTAGTAAATATCGTGCATTTCACGTGCTAATTTCAATATCCTTATTAGAACCATTTAAAAATGATAAGTAATAAAAGCATGGTGCCTTGGTGTATTTAGATTTTATATTTCATTTTCATTGTTAATAAAAATACTTATTATATATTATATTTATTTTTTATTTAATATTATAAATATATGAGATTAGAGATGTACACAAATTTTTGTGTTTTCTATATTTTTTATTTCGATCTATTTTTTTAGTTTTTATTATATAATTATGACACCATGTTTTGGCCTATTTGACTTGAAAAAAAAAAGCAATATCATTTTCAGTTAACTTTAAATTTTTTATTCCATCTACATAATTAATTATAATTCTCGTTTATCACACTTATTTTTGTTTGATATGATAAGTTTATACTATCTTGGATATCTCAAAAAATTCTATAAATTTTATGTATTTTTTAACTTTTTGGTGTTTCTATCTATTTTTTTAATTTTTATTATTTAATTATGACATCATTGGTTAAGTCACATACCCAAATGATTGGACCATTATGGTGCAAGTCAAATAGGTTGGGTTGAATTTAAGCTTAACCTAGGCCTAACCCTATCGGACCTAAGGCTTAGAACCAAAGCCAAGCCTAACTTTTTCAACTTGGGCCCAACCTCTAACCTGCATTGAAATTTGATAAACTTGGGTTAGAATTGGACTTAAGTCCATCGATTAGCCCCATGACAAAATTTGTCATAAAATGCATGTGTATAATTGTATATACATGCATGTATGCAAATATATGCTATATCTGTATTTATAATTATATATATATATATATATTATAAACAAATTATATAAATATATATCATATCATAGAAAAAGTTGTCAATTGTCAACCATTTTTTGTTTTCTGATAAATATATATCTGGGAAGAAAAAGGACAAATAATTATCTGGGAAGAAAAGGGACAAAAATAAAGACAACGATTGAACTTTATTATTTCTAAAAATATGATTTTTTCACAACAAGAAGCTGCTCTATTTATAGAGCTAAAACCAAACGGATAAGTGCTTGAAACTAGGAAGTGCAACCACCAGCTCCTAAAAAACATGCAACGCACTCCTAAAACTACGTATTCTCCTATAGACCAGGTAAAAGGAAAACAAACTAAAACCACTTAAACAAACTCTTATTGACGAGGACGACTAGGAGATTTAATAAATATTTCAACAATTATCCCTCCCTTACATTGAAAGTTTTCAAACATTCAGTTTAAAAAAACAACGAACTCTCTTCAAGCTGGGCTTTCCAAAGTGGAGACACCTAGCAGTTTTCTAAACTTCACTAACGACGCCAATTTGAGAGGTTTGGTCATTATATCAACAATCTGGTATTCACTCTTGCAGTAGACGAGATCAATGAGTCCTTCATTTGTCAAGTTCCTTAAGAAGTGAAACTTCACATCTATATGCTTGCTTTCTTCCATGTAGAATAGGATTTTTGGAGAGTTTGATGGAAGAACTGTTGTCACAAAAAATTGTTATAGGCCCTTGTTGTTCAAAGTTTAGCTCTTCAAGAATTTTCTTTAGCCAAATACCTTGACAGGTGCAGCCTGTTGCAGCTACAAACTCTGCTTAAGTTGTTGACAAAGTGACAATTGATTGCTTTTTTGAAAACCACGAAACAGCTCCAAAACCAAGCATGAAAACATATCCTGAAGTGCTTTTCCGATCATCTAAATCTCTGGCATAATCACTGTCAGTGAAACCAAACAAATATGACTTTTCTCCTTTCTTGTAGAACAACCCATAACTACTAGTCCCTTGCAAGTATCGAAAGATTCTTTTTGCAGCTAAGAAATGAATCTCTTTCGGACACTCCATGAACCTGCCTATGAGACTTACAACATGCATTATGTCAGGTATTGTAGCTGTTAAATACATTAGACTCCCTACAATTTGCTTGTAAACAGTGATATTAATCTTCCTTCCTTCAGGATTTCGAACAAGCTTCAGACCCACTTCAGTTGGCGTGCTAACAGAATTGCAATTTTTCATTTGAAACCTATCCAAAATTTCTTACACATACTTCATTTTTGAAATAAAAATTCCAGCTGCATATTGCACCACTTCAATACCCAAAAAATAATGCATCTTTCCAAGGTTAGACATATCAAACTCAATCATCATGGACTTCTAAAAACTTTCAAACATGGCACTATCATTTCCAGTGAAAATAAGATCGTCAACATATAAGCAAACAATGAACAATTTTCCTCCATCTTCAATTTTTGTAAAAAGTGTGTGCTCATATGGACATTTCTTAAATCCCTCTTTAGAAAAATAAGCATCTATATGACTATACCAAGCGCGTGGTGCTTGTTTTAGCCCGTATAATGCTTTTCTAAGTTTATAAGCCTTATTTTCACTTCCAAGCTTCACATAACCAGGAGGTTGATCAATAAATACCTGTTCCTGCAGTTCACCATGCAACAATGCTGATTTTACGTCAAATTGGAAGATATGCCATGAATGTTGAGCTGCCAATGCAATCACCAATCTGATCGTATCATGTCTTGCAACAGGAGCAAAGACTTCTCTATAATCCACTCCAAATTCTTCTTATAGCCTTTAGCTACTAGGCACGCCTTGTATTTGTCAACTTCTCCATTCTCCTTCAATTTTGTCTTGTACACCCACTTGACACCAATTGTCTTGTGCCCTCTTGGAAGATCAGTCAACTCCCAAGTGTTGTTCCGTTCAATAGCTGCAATTTCTTCATCCATTGTCTTCCGCCATTTGGATTCTTTGACAGCCTCTTCGAAAACTATAGGATCACAATCCGAAAATAGAGCAAAATATGTAAGTGGGTCATCAGATTGGTCAATTTCGGTTACCTCATAATCAGTCACCCATGCAGGCCTTCTTCTAACACGTTGAGGTCATTCTGTTGCTGTTGGCGAGCTTGGAACATCTGTTGGACCATCTGGTGGAATTTGTTGATCATTTTCTGTTGGCTGCTGACTCTCCTCTTCGTTGTCTCCATCAAAGTTGATGGGTATTTGTTGTTCGACAACATTGTTATTTCATGGCCAAAAACTTTATTCATCAAAAACGACATCACGACTGATAACAATTTTCTTAGTGATAGGATTGTAAACCTTATAGGCTTTTGATTGATCACTAACACCAAGAAAAATGCATTTTTCTCCCTTGTCATCTAGTTTTGTCCTCTTCTGGTCTGGAATATGAGCATAGCCAACACACCCAAAAATTATGAAATGATCTACTGCCAGTCTCCGTCCGCTCCATTTTTCCTCTAGTGTCATATTTTGAACAGCGAGTGTGGGACACCTATTCAAAATATGAATGCTCTAGTTAACAGTTTTGGGCCA